CAGCAGCCTGCACTCACCTTGTGCACAGATTTAGGGGGCACATGCCTCCCATGCTTCCCCTGGTGGGTGCATGCAGCAGCGGGAGCCACACCCCCTTCAGACGAGTCACTCATGGCTCCATCCCGCACCCCGTCTGAGCAGCGTCTGCCCCTGCCCCACTACCTCCCTCACTGCAGGGGCCTTGATCTGCCACCCTCCCTCCCCCACTGACTTACCAGCTGAATGCTGCTCTCCAAGCTGCCAAGCTGGTCGCGTGCACGCATGCGGCATTTATCAGGTTCATCAGCCAAAAAAAGAAGTCGACTGCTGATAATGTCAACTGACCTTTTATCAGTGCCGATATCAATATGGACTGATGTATCGGTGCACCTCTAGCACTGACCCAGCCATACTTGCCAGGGAAGTGGAGGCAATAACTGGCAACTTCCAGAGCCACCACAATGCTGCCACTGCTCACCCACCACCAAATTTCCGGACCCTTAAGGAACTCACAGGCTGGAGGTTGAGCATCACTGCTCTAGTGCAGGGGTTTTCAACCAGGGGTACATGGCCCCCACCAGCTTGACTGGCCACCACGGGACTCCCCGCTTCTCGACCGGCTGCCAGGGGTACCCTGACCAAAAAAAAGGTTGAAAATCCCTGCTCTAGTGCATCAGACAGTAGTGACTCAAGGAGAATGCCTTTTTTCATGGTCTGCCATAAACACTGCATTGGTCTATAACTATTTTGAAAGAGATTTAGTTCATGAGGCTTCCTGGAAACCTGACCACGCATTAACCAAATTGAGCAGAACAATACCAATCAAAATGTGCCTTATTAACCAATCATATAATAATATCTAGGTTGCATAGCCATTTTTAATTATTTCTTGTTTGTGTACTGTGCCAATTCTCCAGTCCTTCAGGATATCACTTTTTCTGCCCTTAAAACCCACATAACTAAAAAAAAACCTCATGGCCTCCTTATTACCACATATAAAAAAATCCACAATAATCCAGAGTTAAACGTACTTCCCACCCTCTTCACACCACCTACCCAATTCACTTTACACATTTACATTTTTCATCCAATTATACAGAGTGGTCCATTACCTGCTCCTGAGACCAGTGTATCCTGCAATTTCATAGCCTCAGAAATTGACCCACCACTCTCCCCCATACCAAATAACTGTTACAAAATCTCAACTTTGAAAATTTTCTTCATGGGAGTTAACTTTAAATGTGGACAACAAACATGTCAACAGTTTCACTAACTCTACAGACACACCAAAACAAAACAACAGCAGAAGTGTAAACTTTACCCCATCCATTTAATCAGATTAATGAAAAGACCAACAAGTAACTCCTTTTCCATGCCAATTTTTAATTAAGTGTGGCTGATTACTTGTGCTGCACGGATAAACCTTACCTATGTAGTTATCAGCTAGTAACCACGCCAGCTATTTCAGCCTGCCTAAGAGTGCATTATCTTTTTTACCTAGATAATGCAACTAGGACTGGGTTTTTTTCTTCCATTTTTTTTTGGGTGGCGGTTGCAGGGGAAGGGAGGTTACCTAGTGGTCAGAAAAACCTCACCAGATTTAACTGATTTGGCTACTCCTACCCTTCTCAGCTGCCTATCCAATAGCATATAGTTCTGCGTATTGCGCTATGGACTGATGACACTACTGTATATAGTTCCTCTAGGTATTATATCCTGTTGAGATGCAATTAGAGAACCATCCAGATTTTCCCAGAATGCACACATGCAAAACACAGCTGCATGGTAAGTGCAGATGCACAAAAAGTGCTGTGTGAACACAAACTGAACAGCACGACACAAATCAGTTAATATGACCCCATGTAACTGAATTACAAAAAAAAAAAAAAAGCAGCAAACAAACTTGATGTAAATTTACAACGTGCAAAGGGAAAAACCTCACCATTACTACTAAATTAACATGTCATAGGGTGCATCCACACGAGCCCGCATGCAACTGTTGCATTAACTCAAAGAAGTCTGAGATGTCACAAGAGGCACACCAAGAATGAAAAAAAAATGTTCCCTGTGCTGCATATTTGCGGCGCGGACTCTAAATTTGATACCAGGAAATTCCAGTACCAACCAAAAACACACAAAACAACAACAACAAAAAAACCCTGCTAAAAAAAAGCAGAGCAGGGTGCCCTGGAGCGTATCCTGAAGCACTGGAGGCTAGGTCCTCCAATGAGACAGTCTGGCACCCAGCCAGAGCATCTCTATACCTGCCCCCTTTCCCTGCTGCCCCAGTGCTGGAGCAAATAGGAGCAGCACAAGGCTGCAGCAGTGACCCAGATCCAGGGACTGTCCCCACTAAATAGGGACATGGAGGGGGGGGGAATGAGACACTGCTTGGGAGGGGTGGGTCCCCTGCCTGCACAGCGCATAGCCTGCGCACCCCCAGCAGAGGCCATTGGGCACCCAGAGCCTTCTGCTGGCAGAATCCCCTGCAGTGCAGGGGGGCCCTGGCTGCCTAAGACCCAGCACCACCTGTGCCACGTCACAGGCCTGACCCTGGCTTGGGGGCATGTGCCTTCAGGCAGCAGGCCCCAATTGCCCAATGGCCGCTGCTTCTCTGGGGAGGCTCTGCACTGTACAGGGGGCAGGTGGAGGACCCACCCCTCCCAAGCAGTTTCCCCCACCCTACACCCACAGTATCATAGAACCATAGAATTTAGGGTTGGAGGGGACCTCAGGAGGTCATCTAGTCCAACCCCCTGCTCAAAGCAGGACCATCCCCAACTAGGTCATCCCAGCCAAGGCTTTGTCTAGCTGGGTCTTAAAAACTTCCATGGATGGAGAGTCCACCATGTTTCTGGGTAATCTGTTCCAGGGTTTTACTACCCTCCTAGAGAGAGAGAGTTCTTCCTAATATCTAACCTAAACTTTCCTTGCTGCAACTTGAGACTGTTGCTCCTTGACCCATATACCCCACACCCCCAAGCCTCTGCCACCCACAAACCCTATACCCCCCCGACCCCCTCTACAAATCCCACACCACAGGCAGTGGAAGGCCAGGGCTAATGGGGCAGTACAGAGGGCCGCAGAGCAGCCCAGGCACGGGCTCTAGGTGGCTGCAGCAGGGAGGGAGGGAGGGTTGGTTGTGCACAGACTCAGACACGCAGCCAGGATTGCAGCCCAGTGGCTCTGGAGCACTGCCCAGCATGGCAGGCAAGTCTGTGAAGGGGAAAGAGGAAGATCAAAGCCCCCACAGCGAGGAAGGGAGTGTGGCAGGGGCAGAGGCTAGGGTGAATGGGGCCCCAGAGTAGGTTGTGGGACAGTGAGAACCGGGGCGGCTCGTCCACGGGCACAGGGGGTAGGAGGAAAGGGGATCCTGCCACTATGTGCACCCCAGGGGAGGCACAGAGGGCATGTGCCCCCTGGATTTGTATGTGGGGCGGAGGCGGGCTGAGCTCTGCATCCCACTGCCTTGGGAGTGGCAGCACCTGGCAGGCAAGCTAATTGACACCTGATAAAAATTGTGACTCCAGATTACATATGTAAATAAGGTACACAAATTCTATAATTCAATCCCAATAAATATTAACCAACTACTTCCATTCTTCATTTTCAACGGTGACGAAGTTACCCTGGTTCAAAAGTATTTTCTCCCTTCTCTGAGAGAAATGCATCCCTGCTAATGGGTTATTACATATTTCTTTTAAAGTAATCAATATTTGTCACTTCTACAACATGTACCTCTTAGCTATATAATTTCCTATGCGTGACCAACTATGTGTAGAGAGAGAACATATAGGCAAGACGGCTAACTAAAAATTACTTTCAACTGCAATGCTGTCAAATGAAGGTACATGCTTTACTAATGAAAATTTCTCTCACTGGGACAAAATACACCAATTGAGAAAGCACACACAAGATTTTATGGGGCTCAGATATGATGATATTAGGAAATACAAACTAACAACTGCAGCAAAAATGACCCCACATTCAGAAAGATAAGAATTTTCATTATTTTATTGGGATATAAATTTTGAAGCACTACTATGATTGCTGAAGAGCCTTTGTTTATATCACTTACTCAACAAACAGTTAAGGACCATAAGTAGTTACCTGGCCTCACCTACTCCATTTAAAGTGGATTAAATCAAAAAGGAATATGGTGGCCCTCTATGCCAAAAGAAGAGAGTTCACCCACAGAGGGTGCAGACAGAAGTGCAGCTCCCAGCTGTAACTCAGAACAATTTTTGCAAAGCATTTTGAGTAACGTTACCCCAGAGTAAACAGAACGTCACTGTTGGTTCCAGGGGGAAGGAGAATCTAGCTGTGGGCTGGGAGCCTGGAGCCACAGCATCAGCCAGGGCTCTCTGTCAGAATTCAGTATGCAGAATGGAAGGGGGGAAAAAAGGCAGCAGAGGGAGCTTATTCTTGGGGCTCCACAGCTGGTGCTGAAGGGTAGGGTGGGTGAAGTGGAGCCCTCCTCCTTCCCTACTTCAGAGGGGCTCCAATACACCTGCCATACCCTCCAGAGGAGCTGAAAAACCCCCAGACTGAACTCCCTCTACTCCCTTCCCCGCCTCTCATTCTGAAAACACTAACAGGCTGGGAACTCCCCAGACAAGTTACAAAAGACACCACATTTTGAAACGTCTATCTGATATCTCGTGCAAAGAGGGATCAGATTTTCACCACATTAGCTATTTTTGAAGCTGTTCATTTGTGTTTGGTCACAACTATAAACGGCTTTCTGTGGCTAGATCAGGCAAGAATTGTCACTTCTGTCTGCACCCAAAATTATTATGGATCATCTGCTGCCATACTGTCTGTGACCTGACTAATTTACCACCCCACACCCAGTAAAAGCAATACAACTAAAAAAATGAGAAGGGGGGGAGGGAGGAAAATGTATTTTCATTCATTGTAGTTTAAATTTATTTCACAACCTGAAATTCAAGAGAATTTATTAAAGACTTCCTTTAAAACACTTGAAAGTATGTTATGGGAGGTTAAATAAATTGACCTACCTTCACCTTGTATTTCTCCTACTACCTTAGTAAGGAGTGAGGATACTGCCATTATCTGACATCTCCACGGTGCATACTCTTCTTAAAAGTGTTCATTACAGCCTATGGTTAGAATGTTTTCATAAAATCTCAGCCAAGCAGCTTGACAGCTAGTATATTAATATCCATTTCCTATTTTTCTATTGTTCTTCAGCATCTCCTGGCAAAATTTAGGGAACACAGGTTCATACCTCTAGCATTTTAAAAGCTTCTCTATTATATCAACAGTTCTATGAAGGTTCCCCTATCCTTTGATATGAACTCTAACACAATACATTGTGAGAGGCAAGGATTTCTTATGGTGATACCTTAATTAGACCAATACATTTATTGAGACGATACCTTGTCTCATTTGAGGAATTTCTATATCAAGACATTACCAAATCATATCTAAAAAGATGCCTTGCTATTCTTAAGCTTATTTGTTCACACGTTTATTTCAAAATCAACATAAAAATTCACCCATTCTCCCCTCTCCCATTGCTCTGTAATAGATTGTGTGTCTATCTATTTTTTTTACTACTTATACAAGAACACGCTTTACAACCAATTTGCAAGTTCTTGAGAATGTGACAACCATAACAAAGAATAGACAAGTTATGTCAACTTTTAAATCTGAAAGCTTTATATTGGTCAAAAGTTAATGTACAGCCAAAAAGTTCATAACTTATTGATCCCCTAGAAACGTGCTCGACTCAAATACTCTGCACTCAATCTGATATACATATTAAAAAAAATAATCTTCAGCTGCCACACTATTTGGCAAGAAACACTAAAAGGCACAGATCTCACCATATATGCTATGCCAGAACCCACCCACACAAAATTTACCAAAATCAAGGTAAATTTGATAGGGAGAAAAATATACACTTCTGAGTTTTATACAAAAGACTGTTCCAAAACATTTAAAAAACTTCCTCTCCATAATAGCTCATTTCCCCTGTATGCACCGAGCACACACAGAGCTATAACAATATTAAAATCAGGATAACCTTCCAGTAGCAAATCTAATCAAATAATTTCTGTAAACAAAGGCAGACAGTTACCACATACAAAGTGCCAGGCATAGTGTTGGTTGCAATACAGGGTATCTGTATACACTGTGAATACACAGTGATGATGTATAAAGGCAACAATTGCAAAACAAAGATTCCCCAATATCAATGTATGAACCATGATTCCACCCAATTTTAACTAAGAATCTTAAGCATTTTGCAAGTAGAATAAGCTTATCAGGAAAAAAAACAAAGAAACATGAATCTTATTCACTCTAATAAACTAGCAATCAGAGTAAGCCTTAGAACAACCTATATAACTTTGCTCTTGGAAGTCACAATTAGAAGCCATAAAACTATTCTTTACTGACAAATAAAAGAAATACAAGTTAGAAGTTTTAATTAAGAAAACTGAATAGATATGAAAGTTTGGGAACTGTGTGTTCCCAGTCTCATTTTGTGAAAATCATAGTGAATGTGCCATTTTGAGGGTAACCTTGATTATGTCCTTCACTGTATGCTGTAACTGCCATACTGTATTGCATCATCATATTTGTGTTTGGGCTAAGGGTGTGGCACAGGAGTGTCTATCTTAATCCAAAAAAAGACCTCAGTATGGAATAAATTGAGTTATTCAAGACTATCTATTCCATTTTAAATACCTAGCCTATATTAATTCCAAGTACTTTTCACATACATACCAGCCCAAAGAAATGGCAGTGTAGGAGGGGAACTATTGCCAGAATCAGACAGCTAAGCAGGGGGAACTGAAGGACCTGACCCTGAATAATACCAACTAAAACCCTGAATAATCTCAGGCAGAAGTGAGAACAAGACTACATACAGGTGTTACTAGTTTTCAGAGATCACTCTCCTGTACTGTCTAAAAATGAAGTGGGTGCGCATTTAAGAAGCTCCTTTGCCAAACCTCTTTCCTTATTTTGGTTCTCTGTATCACATACCTTTGAAGGTTTAAAATATAAACCGTAGTTCCAGAGTGAAGGGAGCACTGAGACGAGTGTAATGAAGGAACTGGGGACTTGGGATGACTAATGCACTGCTTCATAGGTCTAACTGGATGGCTGGATGGTGCGGTCCCGGGTGCTAAGAGTCATCAGACCCAAGCACCACAGAGCAGGAACAGTGCTCAGTCGAATCCTCAGACCCCGAGATTTATGGGACAGATAAACCTAACAACAGCAACAGACTGGTATTAACATAAAACAAGCTTAAAGTATAACAGCCTAATCTAAATTACAATATTTTAAGTCATTTAAATATTTTACATTTGCAATCAACATCTATTCTTAATCAAAGATATTAGCCATTATTATTTTCAGAATACAAAAAGAATCTAAACCAAACAAGATAACACAAATTAGCTGATAATTTTAGAGATGCCTATAAATTCAAAATAACAATTCAGAAGAGCATTTATTCTTCAAAAATAATAGTTCAGAAGTAATGTTAAAAATCTTTTTTTTTTTTTTTTCATACAACTGAAAGAGGGGAAATAAAAGACAACTTGGAAAGATTTAAAATACAAGTTTATGTCTTCTTCTTAAGATACAGGCTTCTAAGCTGTACATGAACAAGTTTCTACATTTCTTAATACATCTAAATATACCAGAAAAACTGTTGGCATTTGCTGTGAAATGAAGAGAAATACTTCTTTACAAAAAGAAATAGCGCACTTTATATCTGGCTGATATGCAACGAGTAGAATATCAAGACCACTTCAGTAATTCCTATTTTAACAAATGAACACTTCTGCTATAAAGATGAGAGGATATACTGGTATTTCCACATCCCAGATAGTTTTAAATTCTTAAGCATTTCATTCCTTTAAAAATTTCTACATACATGTACCTTGTATTTCTAGCTGCCTGTCTCTGAATTACCAGGGCTGCTGTTTAACTCACTAGACTGAGGTTATTCAGGTAACTATGATTTTCTAAGTCCTGAAAGTGCTCTTCTAGTGCCTGCTGGCTTGCAGAGCATGCTTCCCATAAATTAATGCTGTAAAAATACAGCATTTCCTCATAAATAAGAGGAAACAAAACTAAACTGCTGGCTTCTTAAGACCACCAACCTTATCTGAAAAGTTTCAGGATTTCTTGAAACCTAAAGGTCATGCAGACAAGTTTCTTGCAGTAGCATTAAAAAGTATGATTTAATAGTAAGAGTGCTTGTGAGACCTGGATTCATCTCCCTATTCCATCTCACACTTCTTGTGTGACCTTGGGGAAGCAGCTATACCTGAGGTCCCCATCTATAAAATACAGGTGAGACACTTTCCTGACTTACTTATATATCTGAACCTCCTTGTAAGAGATTCAGATGCTAGAGCAATTGGAACTGTAAGACAAAAGTATAGGAGGCTACATGTTTCAATATACTGGCAAACTGGAAAACTGAATCTCTAAACTTTTTAGATCCTATTCAAAACAGGCCCAGTTGAGCAGTAACCAAAAGCTACTGCCATTTGATAGTTTATGCCAGTGGTGCTCAACCTACAGCCCATGGGCCAGAGCCAGCTCCTGAAGAGCCTGAATCTGGGGTAAAATCAGTGGCAAGCAGCTCAGCCCAGTGTAGCCAACACCAGGTTCAATAAATACAGCCACACCGACAATGTGAAGAACTACCAAGTTTTACTGGAAAGCAGTAAATGAGCCTCCACAGCCCTTTAGTTTCTCTAACTAGGTGATACCTAACTGAGGGACCACCTCCAGATTGCAAACTCTCTGCTTCCTGTTAGGCAGCATCTATCACTACAACTGCCATCTTAACAATAATTACAAATGTCAGTTCACACAAAAATCAATTAACCCCCAAAGCCATTAATCCCCAACAGAAAGATTATTAGCACTTCACCCTGGAGTGAGTCTTCACCACTCACTTTCCTATTTTCCCTCTTCTGCAGCTCCTAACAAGTTGGAGTTTTTCAGAAGGTTTCATTTTCTTCTCAGACCAATGAAGTATTAGATTTAGTTTCTCGTCTGTTTTTGGTGAGAAGCTTTTCCTCCAAGTCTAGATAGACTTGAGTCCTTATATTGGCATCCACCAGACTTGCACTTTTGGCAGCTGTGCTTCTACACATAGCACAAACTTAATTAGCTGCAGGCCACCAAGGCCAATTTCCTCTTTTTTTTATGATAGTATTTCCATTTGTGTCCAGAGGTACATTTCTTTCCATGAGGACATGGGTGCTTCTAATGTTCTGGAACAACTGGTTTCTTCTTAGGAGATACCCCAAATTTGAGCTGTGATGCTCAAGAGGATGACCATCAAGAACATGGATGTTGGGTCTTCTTCTACTGTAAGCACGTACTTAACCAGGTTTTTTCTCGCAAGCTGTCAGATCCAAAACTGTATACTGGATAGTAACAATGCCAGAACTTTATATAGATGTAGTAGAATAAAATGGAAGAAGGAACAATGGTTTCATTTAAAGTGGACACTGGAGGTCAGATCAGTATTTTACCAGAGCATGAATACAGAAAATTCAATATCCCTCTGGCTGTTATATTTGTTCCTGAACAGACAATTATTGTCAATGTTTGTTGGACTCACTTTTGGATTAAATTTTAAAATTTCCTATATTCACGCTCTGCTAAAAACATTAACCTAAGCTCCAGTGTCCAATTTAAATGACACCACTGTTCATCCCACTGTCTCTGGCAAAATTCAGTCCCCTCATTGATTTAGCCTGATTCTACCATATCAATATAAAATTCTTCTGGGATGCCCTCAACTGCATGCACTTCAGGTTTTAGCGCTTGGCATCTACAACACACCAGGCAAAACAGCTCCTCTCGGTACAGCTGAAACAGAGCTTTCCAAATGCAGCACAACATTTGGAGCCATGCTGCCTTCTACATCTGCTGTGTGTCCGCCTGTGAGCTCTCCCTCCCTTAGAGGGTGACCTACGGATGAGCCACTTCTTCCCGCAACATTCTTTCATACCTATGATATAGACAACTCCTTTTGGTGCATTCAGCTCTGCAGCATGGGTCTTCACAATTTCTGCTGTACATTCAGAGAGTCTTTCTAGGGGTAAGGTTCCCTCACACAATAGCCTTTCTTGTAACACAGTGCTTGCAATGCCACAAATAATCATATCTCTAATCAGAAATTCTGTCAAGTTCCCAAGAACACAGCTCTTCCTAGCTCAGTAACATACTGAACTGTACTTCATTCTGTTGTTTATTTGCACATAAAAATAATCTGTGCCTTTCAGGAGTCTCATTCTTTTTTGGTATGCAGTATGCCTCAAATTTGGACAGTATTACACTTAACTGCATATTTTGGCCTTCTTCAAAGATAAACATGTCATAAACACCCAGGGCTATCTCCCCCACAATATGGAAGATGACAGAGAATTTGACTCTCTTGTTACTTTCTCTCTTCTCCCCTGTGGCTGCTAGGTACCATTCAAACCTTTGTCTGAACACCCTCCAGGTCTCTGCCATATTGCCGGACATCAGAAGAGCAGGTGGAGGTTGCAGAACTTACATGACTTAATGTCCTTAAACTAACAGCAGAAAGATCACTTACAGAGGCCCTTGTCCTTCTACAGGGCTAAGCTGCTCCCCTTGCTTTCAGTTTAGCTCTCAGATTTTTTCAAGTTGTCTCATTTGCCACTCCTGATACCAGGTAGTAATCACCAAGTTCAACAAACAAACATATAAAGAATGAGAAGAACTAACAAGTTTCATCACCAGGGATCCAGGTTTTCCATTTCCCATGGGAAAACTGAGTAAAACGCAAATTTCCCACCTTACCAGAGTAAAACACAGATTTCTCATTTTAGCAGAGAAACCTGTGGATTTTGCAGTTTTGCAACAGCCCTCTACAGGATGGCAGAGCTCCAGCCTGCAAAGGGCTGGGAGGGACTAAGAGGACGGCAGTCAGGCAGGGGGACACCATATCAGGCAGCCTGGAGAACAGCTCCCATGGGTAAGCTGGGGTGGGGATCAAGGCCCCCCATAGGAAGGGAGGGAGTTGGGCAGAGCTGGGGCTACTGCCCAGCCAGGCAGTGTGTGGGGCTTAGGGCCCAGGGCTGCAATGCATGATGGCAGGGCCCCAGTACAGAGCAGGACAGGATTGCAGGCAGTTTGTTCGGGGGGCTTCAGGGTAGGGCCAGCTCCCCACTGCTGCGCACACCACAGAGGGGGAGGGGGGACCCATGCCCCCCAGATCTGCACGCAGGGTGAAGACAAACTGCCTGCTGCAGGCTCAGGCTCCTGCCCTGCTGCCCTCCCTTGGTGCCTCCACAGCCCAGCAGGTGTGACCCAGCACTGCAGGGCAGTGGAGCCACACAGGAAAGCTGCTTGCCGCTGCAAGCTTTGCGCTGCTCTATGCACAGCAGGAGCAGTGCAGAGTTGGGCCCCTCACTGCTGCCACGCATGCAGGGGACACCTTGCCAGGGCAGCACAGCACTGGCAGCAGCAAGCAGCTTTTTCCTGAGTGGCTCCACTCTGCCCTGCAGCACCAGGTCTGCCCTGGAGGCATCAAGGGTGGGAACCTGAGCCTGCAGTAGGCAGCACGAACCCACCCCACGCACAGATCTGAGGGGCATGGGTTCCCCCAGCCCCCCAGGAGTGTGCACAGCCATGAGGAGCCAGTCCCACCACACCCAAACCCTTGGGGGGGGGGGGG